GGAGGGGGTGAAAGCGCGCTAAAAGCAAGAACATAAACTTCTGTTTGAGGTCTGTGGTTCAAAAACGTCTGTGCTTAATGAGCTCTCTTATCTTTGCAAAGCGTCCTTGCGCGAATGCAGGTGTTCTTGAACATGAAGTGCACGTTTGAGAAGTAATGCCTTACTGGTGGTTACAAATGAACACGGTTCGTTTGTAGCTGACGGACCTTCTTTTTGAATATCCCCTTTCCAAACACCACAAATGTAGTGTTGGTATCGGGCAGTGTCTTCAACTTATGTTAGGGCCTGTTGACAAGGAGGGAGGGTTACCCTAGCAAGCGGGTGAACCCTAGACGGCAAAAGATAACCCTGGTTTACAAGCAAAATTTCACAGGTAGGGTAACCCTACAACCCGGGACAACTTAGCACGCGGTTACACTCAAAGGGTCTGGAAACAATTAGAAAGTTAACCCGGGTAGGCGGGTTAACCCTACCTGGAGTGTTTGTAAGGGAAAAAGTTAACTCGCCCACCCGGGTAACCCTAGCTGCCTTGTAAACACGACTAACGAAAAATGAGGAAATATTTGAGTGCTAGGGTAACCCGCTCGCTAGGGTAACCCTCTCTCCTTGTAAACAGGCCCTTAGAGACGGACTGTACCTTACGCGACAAAAACGATACGAAACGCACTGGAATTACTCCGTGATGGCTCGAGTGTCATGAAGATTGATCAGTTACTTCTTTGACTGGTCTGTGACTGGCCTTTTTGTTCGGTTGTTATTCCACAGGTATGCAACAACGAGTTCGAGTGTTTCTGTTATAGCTGTTGGCGAGGAGCAGACTGCAGTGTATGGGAAGAATGCAATACACAAGGTACGTGCGGGCCAACCGAGTCTAACATGTCGCTCCGTTTCGGCGTCATTTGGTCCTTTGGTTGTCATGGCTACTCTGTAAAGGCTTGCATGTTTTCTTGTAAGAGCAGGAACTCAGTGTATGTCCGTATTACAACAGAGCTAGGGGCGGGGTACTTCATTTGTCGTTGGAGCCTGGGAAAGCAGATGATCCCTCAAAGCGCGCCGTACTCTTGTCCGCGAATAGGGTGCGGTGTGAGATATGGTGCGCTTTCTCGAGCTGTTAAAAATCGCGACGAAATCAGAAGTTATAGTTTCATACTGATTTGAGTTTTGTGTGATTACAAGGTCACTTCCCGCCTTACTAACTCGACAACCTCTGAATCAGACGTATTACGCTTTACAACATTGTGTCATGCACAGCGTCTCACAGTTCTTGCGTCACATCTCTACACAAAAAAACGTGTTTCACTCTCTGCCATCTTCTTCATCCTCATTTACCGCGCTGGCGCTAAGCAAATACAAACATCGCAAATAAAAAAAATAGGATAAAACAGCGATTGCGCTAACGATGCATTCACGATAAAAATGTTATAAATTAAAACGAGTTACAATAATTTAACTTTAAAACGTAAAGTGCGAATAAAATGTAAAAAGATTAACGATTACAATATTGAGCAATAGAATTAAATGCATGATACTAACGTGAATAAATCCCAAAATCACTGGCTCAAATCTGACCGTAAATCAAATGCTATCTTACCAAACATAAATAAAAAGCTAGAGCCCTCGTGGTTCGACTCCGGCAGTAAACCGCGATTTCCTCAAAGTTCACACACTTGTGTTTGAATTACTAAGACTAAGTTTTGATCAGTTGAGTCTGGACTTTGTGACGTCTTAATAATACCAGCATGTTAACGTTATGGCGTTAAATTAAATGTCTATAATCTAACGCCGTGTCACTAACACGTAGTCAGAATCAGTTATCACAGCTGAACTGTTTTTGCTACAAACAATGTAAAGTTAACTCAGTATGGCGTTAAATTAAATGTCTTTATTATGTGGCTAGCTCCGTGAGCGGGCAAGATGAATCAAATCCTGCTCTGTAATTGGTTATCCGAGCAGGCAAGATGGAGCTATCTTGCTCACTCGGTACTACCTGCCGTGTCCCGCAAGTAAAATTTCGCCAAAAGCCGTATAATAAATCCTTTGTTGACCAGGCTTGTTCGGTCAAGATGGCTTGATATTGGCCTCGTTCTTTTTTTGCGAGTTTATTGACCTCGACTCCGTCCCAGTCCATAAACACGCAAAAAAAGAACTTGGCCAATATCCAGCCATCTTGACCTCACACTTGGTCAATAACCCATACATAATCTAACGCCGTGTCACTAACACGTCATCAGAATCAGTTATCACGGCTGAGCTGCTTTTGCTACAAACACTGTAAAGTCAGCTCAGTTTTTGCAGTTTACTTTTGCTATGTGCTTCACTAGAAGATCAAACTTGACTATAACAAAGTTAGAAAACACAGTAGAGCGAATTTCTTTTGACTTCAGAAAAAGCCATACGATCTGAGTAAGCTTCCAACCAATCAGAGGCAAACCCGACACCAACCATGGCTTGGGTTTCTCGCGCTTGCATCAGTAGCTCGTTCTCCCGGCGCGCTTGCTACGGATCGAGTTTTGATTACTTAATTACGTTACTTGTGTGTGATTGACCAAATGGTGCTACTCTGGTTTAGGCGTACAACAGTCATAAGAAAATAGTTCTATTTTTAGTTCAATAATGAATATAAACTTGTTTAATAAAAGAATCAAAGTGTTGGAGGGCTGATCTCGTGAAAATGTTGAGCTCCTGAACTATTTTCAGGTATAAATGCATGCTTTAGTTATTCTATATGCACGAATAAATTATTGCTTTCTTTTCTTCAAAACCCACTGAAGTACATATGCACTCTCGCTGCTGTATTAAAACCTTCCTCAGGTACAGATAACGGCACAGAGCGCACTATAGTCCCCCCTACAACAAATAACTACACAGATCATGAGGTGCCAGGTAAGACCGGTTTTTCTTTAACTCTCCCTCTGCACGACTAATACATATGAATATGTGTTCTGAATTGTAACCATAATGCTGTAAATTTGTATAACGTATGTGCTTTAAACAGCTTTAATAATGCTTTAATGCTTTTAATAACGCTTTGATGCATCAGCGATGCTAATGCTTTAACGAGATGATGCTGAGAACAGTATAAGCATAAACATAAAATTATGTAGACTGTTTGATGCATCTAACCGTTGCTAAATGTAAAAGGTGATCAAGTAATCTGGATTATACAAATGTTTGGTAAGTTAAAATGTCTATCGTCACTCTTTCACTAATGTCGATACTTGGCACTGCACCAGTGGACAGACCTTGAAAACTAATGATCAAACTCAATTTAATATCCGTGCTGTTATTACCCAATCAGCGGACATTGCATCAAGCCACTGGGTGAAATATCATACTGCATGCTGTGATGAACTGTATGTGTCGTAGCATATCACTTTCTTCTAAAATATCTTAAAATCTCAAAATAAATGCGCCAGTATTTTCTATCGCTTTCACCTTCTTGACAAGTCCACCGTCCTATCTGTCTGCACGTACGTCCGCGTAAAATATTAAACAATTAGATTATGAGCTCGAGATTTCTATCACATGATACTTGACGAGGGTGCTGTCCGAGTCAACTATCACGCAGAGAAATCGAGAGCGAATAATCTAGTTGTTTAAGTATAAGTCTACTAGTCGTTCAAAACTTTATCTAAATCCTCTTCACAGACGCTTCGAAAACGCAAAGAAGCGGCCACCATTTTGTTAACAGGCGCACAATGGTAGGCTACCCACTATCTACAACAGAATAGATAGTAGCGCAACCAATCAGAGGACGGTATTCGTAATAGAACGCTAGTAGATTTATACTAAAAATGAATAGAAACGGCGAAGGTACAGAGATAATGAGAATATGTCGTAACCATGATTACTGGGTCGTCAAAATTACGCCTTTTCCGCACAAATAAAGCGGGCTGAGAATTGACAATTGATAGACAAGCAGCTCAATGATGTACAGTGCAATCGAATTATCATGCACTTTAGTTACTTTGGTTGGAGGAGTTCTTATCTCCTAAGGGGATTGTTATCTTCAGGGGGGGGGGGACCGTATTGTCGGAAGGGTTGTTAGTTACATGGATTTCACGTCAACATGTTGGTTAATTTTGATATCACATTTTCACTGCATTTCTTTATAATTTTAACAATGTAAGCCCCCAGCTTCTGAATTTCTGGCTGTTTATATCAAGTATAAGTAGGGTGGTTGTGTCCGAAATTCTTCTAAGAAGGGTTAGAGGAAGCGTCTGAGAAACTGTTGGAAGAATATCGGTTTTCATGTTTGCACTAAGAGGGTTGACACTGGGCACTTGATTTGTATCAACAGCAACTGATGAGCCAGAGGCCAGGCGAAGCAACTTAGCAGGGATTTTAATCGGTGTGTTTCTTATTATTTTGTTGGTGGTCGGTATTGTTTGTGCCATCATTTACCGAAAACAATTGATGGAGAAATGGCGCGCCTTCCAGCAAAAGGCCCCAGTCAGTAAAAGGTAAGTACCAAGCTACTAGTAATTAAGATATGAATCTCTTTGTGTCTGTCTGTAAATCTTACCTGCCTCCCCCGTTTCTTGCTTGTTTCTCTGCCTGCCT